GAGCGAGGTCAGTCACGTGGTATGAGGTGAGTCACGTGGTATGAGGAGCGAGGTCAGTCACGTGGTATGAGGAGCGAGGTCAGTCACGTGGTATGAGGTGAGTCACGTGGTATGAGGAGCGAGGTCAGTCACGTGGTATGAGGAGCGGGGTCAGTCACGTGGTATGAGGAGCGAGATCAGTCACGTGGTATGAGGAGCGAGGTCAGTCACGTGGTATGAGGAGCGAGGTCAGTCACGTGGTATAAGCTAGGTCAGTCACGTGGTATGAGGTCAGTCACGTGGTATGAGGAGCGAGGTCGGTCACGTGGTATGAGGAGCGAGGTCGATCACGTGGTATGAGGAGCAGGCCAGTCACGTGGTATGAGGAGCGAGATCAGTCACGTGGTATGAGGAGCGAAGTCAGTCTCGTGGTATGAGTGAGATCATTCACGTGGTATGAGGTCGGTCACGTGGTATGAGGAGCGAGTTCAGTCACGTGGTATGAGGAGCGAGTTCAGTCACGTGGTATGAGTGAGATCAGTCACGTGGTATGAGGAGCGAGGTCAGTCACGTGGTATGAGGAGCGGGGTCAGTCACGTGGTATGAGGAGCGGGATCAGTCACGTGGTATGAGGAGCGAGGTCAGTCACGTGGTATGAGGAGCGAGGTCAGTCAAGTGGTATAAGCTAGGTCAGTCACGTGGTATGAGGTCAGTCACGTGGTATGAAGAGCGAGGTCGGTCACGTGGTATGAGGAGCGAGGTCGGTCACGTGGTATGAGGAGCGAGGCCAGTCACGTGGTATGAGGAGCGAGATCAGTCACGTGGTATGAGGAGCTAGGTCCAGTCACGTGGTATGAGCGAGATCAGTCACGTGGTATGAGGTCGGTCACGTGGTATGAGGAGCGGGGTCAGTCACGTGGTATGAGGAGCGAGTTCAGTCACGTGGTATGAGGAGCTAGGTCCAGTCACGTGGTATGAGGAGCGAGTTCAGTCACGTGGTATGAGGAGCGAGGTCAGTCACGTGGTATGAGGAGCGAGTTCAGTCACGTGGTATGAGGAGCGAGGTCAGTCACGTGGTATGAGGAGCGAGTTCAGTCACGTGGTATGAGGAGCGAGGTCAGTCACGTGGTATGAGGAGCAAAGTCAGTCTCGTGGTATGAGGAGCGAGTTCAGTCACGTGGTATGAGGAGCGAGTTCAGTCACGTGGTATGAGGAGCTAGGTCAGTCACGTGGTATGAGGAGCGAAGTCAGTCTCGTGGTATGAGGAGCGAGGTCAGTCACGTGGTATGAGATCAGTCACGTGGTATGAGGAGCGAGGTCAGTCACGTGGTATGAAGTCAGTCTCGTGGTATGAGGAGCGAAGTCAGTCTCGTGGTATGAGGAGCGAAGTCAGTCTCGTGGTATGAGGAGCGAGGTCAGTCACGTGGTATGAAGTCAGTCTCGTGGTATGAGGAGCTAGGTCAGTCACGTGGTATGAGGAGCGAAGTCAGTCTCGTGGTATGAGGAGCGAGGTCAGTCACGTGGTATGAGATCAGTCACGTGGTATGAGGAGCGAGGTCAGTCACGTGGTATGAAGTCAGTCTCGTGGTATGAGGAGCTAGGTCAGTCACGTGGTATGAGGAGCGAAGTCAGTCTCGTGGTATGAGGAGCGAGGTCAGTCACGTGGTATGAGGTCAGTCACGTGGTATGAGGAGCGAGATGTGTAAATGCTGCAACTATCGAGGGCCTGAGATCGTGGCAACGACTCGTGGGGAGGCCTCGAGGCGGCGGAGAGAAATCGTGATCGCCGCCGGTAACGAGAGAAACTTACGCGTCGCCCATTGTAAAAGCCCGCTTCTTTAAATCTTCCAACTCGACAATTCATTCACCGCCAGTGACTCGCAAGACGAGGAGCCTAACACATACTGGGGGGGGCACAACGTACACGATTCTCTTCACCGGTTTGCAAAACACCTTCAGGTAGTACGGTTTAGAGAGAGAGGGGGGGGGGGGGATAAAATTTAATGTTTAAATGTTTTAACGCTAATTGTACAAATCGCGAAACTTTCGTCGAATTTCCCGTTTGGCTTTGAGCGGTGTAGGGGTGGCGCGCAATGCGGTTTAGATTTCCCACGCGGTTTAGCAAAAAGCGCGGGAACGGACGGGGGGGAGCGCAACGAGCCAATCAGAAGCCGCGCTGCCACCGCCACGTGGTCGGCTCTGACCAATGGCGGAGTGGGGGGAGACCCCTCTATGCTAATCCGTTGTAGGGTATTTGCGAGAGGCGTCTCTGCGATTCAAGAGCGAAGCCCGCTACGGAAGCCGCAGAGCAGTGAGATCGCGTTTCGTAAATGAAAACAAATACAACCGTGGCCGTCATACAATAATACAATTTTTTTTTACTCAAGACATCCGTCGATAAATACGGCAGCCTTAAATGTATAAAATGTATATAATGAGGCAAAGTTTTTTTTAGGGCAATTGCCCTTAGGAGGGGGGGTCAGACATTTGTGACGATGCGTGACGTCACATCAAAATTAGCAACTTTAAATAAATATAGACAACACGTTCAACTTAATTAAATCGACTTTTTAATAAATGTTTTCTCCTACAACATCAGAGTGCAGCGCCACATTAAATACGCACTACAATGACAATAGTTTAAAGCGATTTGAAGCATGTTTTTATTTTCGGGGGGGGGGGGGGCAGAGCTTTGTGACGTCATATTTGAGGGGGGGTCTGACTCTTTGTGACGTCATGTGGACGATGAGGGGGGGGGGGTCAAACATCGTCCAAAATTCGCGTGACGTCATTTATGGACGGCCCCTATTCAAATGCACAACAATCATTCGCAACACAACACACTGATGAAGCAGATGATGGTCGCGTGGAAGAGTTAGACCAATGTACCCTCCAGAGAGGCTCGTCCTACAACTCCCTCCTCTAGTGGATGCCCCTTGTCTTCTAGATTTGAAGCTTTCGTGACTGCAAGGATTCATATTCTTAGGTTTTTTTCGGTAAAGTCACGTAGGTAAAAAATGTAAATGAATAAAAGTAACATAAAATCAAATAAAAATCACGACGTTTCGGAAGACGGAAGCTTGTGTTGCCTCCGAAACGTCGTGATTTTTATTTTATTTTACTTTATTAATTTAAATTTTTTACCTACGTGACTTTACCGAAAAAAACCTAAGAAGAGGCCCTTTCCTCCAGCAGGGGCGCGATTGAGCAATTGCAGGGCTGCGCCTTGTTGCCCCCACACACACAACGTGGTCCATATGTCTTGTGACCACCCCCCCCCCACCCCCCCAATTAATTTATCCTCACATTTGTTTTTCACTTTGCATATCAATTTCTGTATTAAATAAATCTCACTTTAAAACAATATTTTTTTTTTTAATGGGGGTCACAGGACATCTGGACCACACCCTCCCTGTAAGTTGCACACGAGGTAGAACTGAAAGCATGGACAGGTCATGGTGAACTGCTGAGCCATCTGGAATTAATGAATAGTTTCATTTCTCCAGAATAGAGGGGTGGGGTTGCGTAAATATAAATGTGTCGTCAAACCCACCACCACCCGACACAGTCAATAAGTAAAGGTTTGTCACGTGAACAAAACATGCCAATTAGTTACTTGTTCAGCACACGGGTGTGTAGGAGAGTAATACCCACCACAACATTTCCAATTCGAGACGTTTAGCCGGTAATTATAACCAGCCTCATCAGGCGACAGCCATGAATGTTTCGATTTAAAGCTTCCGTGACTGCGGGGATTCATATTCTTGTTTCTTTCGGTAAAGTCATGTAGAAGGGAAATAATAATAATAATAATATTGGTTTTTTTTATTTCCCTTCTACGTGACTTTACCGAAAGAACCAAGAATATAAAGCCATGAATGTGTTGTGGATTTATTCTCCAACACACCGGTGGGCTGTAGTAGTACGAATTGGCACGTTCTGTTTACGTGACAACCCTTACTCGGGTGGTGGTGGGTTTAACGACACATTTATATTTACACGATCTAACCCAAAAAAAACTCCATTATGATTAGTATTGGTTGCGAAAGCCTACATCAGCGGTCGGGAACCTATGGCTCGCGAGCCATATATATGGCTCTTCCAGTGACGGCATATGGCTCCCAGACAATTTTTGAGTTGAAAAAAAAAAATCTGTTTGGAACTGATTTTAAAATACTTGTGATATTGCTTAATAATACCGTGTCATTTTAAAGTAAACAGAAATTAGGTTTGAAGATAAATTTCACGGGTCACGCCTGCTCGAAGCTCAACCTCGCCACGTCGTATGAACCAGACTACAAGGCCATCAGCAAAACCATGCAGCACCAGAAGTCGCATTAAAAGTAAGACATATTAATTTATTATACGTTAAAAATTACTATATGGCTCTCAATGAAATATATTTAGAAATATTGGGCTTTTATGGCGCTCCCAGTCAAAAAGGTTCCCGACCCCTGGCTTACATGTTAAACTTACGCTGTTTCTCACCAGAGTTACCGGATAATTGTATTCTGAGAA